GGCTCCAGGGCAGGTCCTCTCCCCACCCTGGCTCAAGAATGCGCCTCCCCGCTCGCTCGCTTCGCCAGCCCCGCAGCCGGGGGCAACCTGACATCGCTGCCAGCAGCAGGGCTGGGCCAGGTCGCCCGCCGGCCCTGCCCTCAGCCAACCTAGGCGTCATGTGGGAGGAAGGGTCCCTCGAGCCGGGTAGAGGCCCCGGAATTGGAAGGCCGGGCCGGGCCCTCCTCACCCCTCCCCTCCTTTCCCCGCTGAAGCCCCGCACGTGCTGCGCCTCGTGCGCAGACCGGGCCCCACCCCCGCCCCCCATTGGCTGCTCCTGCGCCTCCCTCCTCTTCTCCCGCCCTAGGCGGCCCTCCCACGGCTGCAGTTCACGTGACCCCCAGTGGCAAGCCGCGCAGCCCGAGCAGACTCGCTGATTGGCTATCCCGTCTGTCTGTCCGCTCGCCGCCCCGCCTCCCTCCAGGGACGCGTCGGGAGCTTGCGTGATTAGAACGAGAGTGAGAGGAGAGGTTACGGCGGTCTGGGAGAAGGGTGGAGGTGATGAAGAGGGAGACGAAAGTGAAAACCCTGGGAAAGGGGAAGGGGCTGCTACCGAAGGCCTCTGACATCTACCCCAGCAGGCGCCAATCAGGTGACACCGGGCGGACGGGGCGGGCTTCCAGCGTCGCTCCTCACCTGGCCCCGCACGTGTCTCACGTTTTACGACTGCCTAGCCAATCTCTGCCCGGGAAACTACCCCTGCCCTTCAACCAGGGTGGACCAATCGGAGACCGCGAATCGGAGACGGTGACCTCGCCTCATGAATAATTAAAATGCCAGAGCCAGTCCGAAGGCGGGGTAGGGATGGAGGGAAGTGGGGGGTGCCGCTTGGCGCCTGCGCAGTAGCTGCCCCAGTCAGCAGCTGCGGCGGGTCGCACGGCTCCGGTCCCTCTCGGGGGGCGGGCGGGGGAGGCGCGGCGCGCGAGCAGAGCGCGGGGCACGATGTCCGACGCGGGCGGCGGAAAGAAGCCGCCTGTGGAGCCGCAGGCGGGGACGGGCTTGGGACCGGGGCGCGCAGCTGGGGAGCGGGGCCTGCCGGGCTCCTTCCCACTGGTCCTGAAGAAACTGATGGAGAACCCCCCGCGCGAGGCGCGCCTTGGTGAGGGGGAGTCCGCGCGGTCCAGGGGCGGGGCTTCTGGGGGAGGAGCCCCCGCGGAGGCGGGGCTGGGAGGTCGGAGGTCAGGGTGAAGTGGTCCTGCGGAGGGGGGTTGGGCTTCTGGGTGCGTGGGGTCTGGAGCGCGAGGGCGGGGGGGCGGAGCCTGGGAAGAGAAGGTCAGGGAAAGTTCAGAGGGTGGGTCCGGCTTGGAAGGGTCTCAAAGGTTTGGATGGGGTGTGATGACAGAGTTCAGGAGACGGGGTCCATAGCAGTCACTTAAATGACCATCCTGGGCAAGGCACCTACTCTGGGGACCCTCGCCCCAGAGTCGCTGGGCACGCTCACCTAGAGTGCTACTTCCCGGGTCCCACCTGCCACCCCTAATCTGCGACACCTGAGACAGAGCGCAGCATTTTAAAGCCCTCAACCCATGGTCCTAAATTCCACTAAAGTTTGAGAGGCCTTGGTGTGTGTGCGCAGCGGTGAGTGCCTGGGGCTCAGCTTCATCCCAGCCACTGGTGAATTTTTGGAAATGTGGCTTCTGCCACGGGGGGCCGAGGTGTGGTGTGGTGTGGGGGAGGGGAGTATGGAGGGGGCGAGGCTTAGGGGAACAGGCACAGGGGCTAAGAGGTTTGGGGTGAACCCTTGACTTTGGGACCCAGAGGTTCTGGGGCCGAAGTGGAAAGCAGGGCTGGCCAGGGGTTGGGGTCTAGACACATGAGCCCCAGAGAGCAGCCACATTGCCATGGGTTGGATGGGGGGAGGCGGTGTTGGGGTTCATCCAATGTGTGCTTTCAATCCTTAGAATTTCCAAGAATCACCCTTCGTGGTTCTGGGATTTAGGTCTTCTGAGCTACCCATTCTAGGAACTTATTTTTTTGTTGCATTCAAAATGCCATTTCTCTGCCTTTCCTGGGTGTGTGCTGGGCCACCCATCCTTGCTGCTGTCACTGTCGCGTTATAAATAGCCCTGGCACATCAGGTGAGGCCAGCTTGCTCCTCCTGCTTCGGGATCTCATGCCCACAAGCCCCTCTAGTTGGTTATAAAGGAGGTGTATTCTTCCAACTAGAGGGCTGAGGCGGGCTGCAGGTACAGGCGGGCACAGAGGACGGGCTCTTGGTTAAGGTAATGACCAGGAACAGCCCACTCTTCGTCTGCAGAGGACACACCATGCATCTGGACATCATCTAGGTTCCGTGAGCCTTTCACAACAAACCTTCAGGGCATTGCTCCCACCTGCCAGATCAGGAAAGCTGAGGCTGAGAGAAGTGAGGGTGCTTCCCCAAGGTGAGAGAAGCCACAGGAGACTCTGTCCCGTGCTCTTCCCTTTGGCTCACACTGGCAGCCACTGGTGATAGTCCCAGTGACCTGAGCGTTAGGCCCAGGCCTTTATTGCCCCTCACAACTGGAAACTTCAGCTCACAGAAGAACTCTGACTTAAAATAGCATAGCATTCATTGCTTTGAAAAATCCCCAGGCTTGTAGAGTTGATTCCAACTCACAGGGGCCCAGCAGACCAGAGCACACTGCTGAATCTTTCTCCCACAGGGCTGCTGATGCCTTTGAACCGCTCACTTTCAGTTATTAGCCAGTTGCTTTGGCCCTGTACCCACATGACTTCCCTGTCAGTTGCCTAAGCCAGGCTAACCCCGTAGTTCTGTTTCTTGTCCTTTGGTATGGCTGCTTTTTCTCCTTCTCTTCTCCTGCCTCCTTTGATCCCAAGCAAACCCACCCAAGGTAGGCCAGCATAATTTTGAACAGAATGGCTAGTGAGGGGGTCTCGGGAGCAGAGCAGCGAGGTCACCTGATCTGCCCTCCCAGCCCAGATTGGCATTTTTTCCCCTGCTGTGCTGGTTTGAAACCAAAGCTTGGAAGGGACAGAAACGGCATGCATTCAGGTTAATTTGTATTAGAGGCCCTGACCAAGTCGTATTTGTCCTAACCTCCAGCTGCTTACCAAGCTGGGTGTGTCCCATTTTATTGGACTAACAGGTTGCTCTTTGACTGTTGTGGTCCAGGAGTCCATGCAGGACTGGACTGGACTGGACTGTTTCCAGTGTTGTCATGATTGCTCCTTGTCACTTGCTAGCCCTGTGGAAAACCCCATCACAAACTTGTCATGATTTTCTCTCCCACTTTCCTGATTTGCCTCCTTGTCACTTTGATTTCCTTCTAACTTTGTCATAATCCTCTTGTCTTTGTCTCTCAATTGCCCTCTATTGAATATTCACAGGCAGAACTTTCTGAGGAAATTAGTTGGGATCTGGTCCCCACAAATTGATACATTTCATTTTGGATGGGAGCAGTCTTTTCCCTTCAGCTCACCCCTTTCCATCTTCCCAGAAAGGGTTGCCAGAGATAAGGTCCTGAAAAGACCCCCTTTTCAGCTCCAGGCCCTCTTCCTAAGCTAGGAGGGAGTCTGTTTGCAAAGCCAGTGCTCAGCAGTGCTTTCTGGCTCAGTGGACAGGGAGCCCCGACTGATACACTGTCCTAAGTCACCAGTTCTGACATTGTCCAGCCCCCCTCTCTTTCATTATTGTTGCCTTTTATTAGTGTGTTCATAAACCCAGTCTTTTTGTCTTTGAACATCTGAGAATGATAGTCTCAAAAACCTCGTTACCATCAAGTCAATTCCGTCTCATGGCAGCCTTATAGGTCAACGTAGACCTGTCCATGTTGTTTTCTGAGGCTAGAACTCTTAGTGGGAATAGAAAGTTTCATCTTTGTCCTGAGGAGGACCTGGTGGTTTCAAACTGCTGACCTTGCACTATGCCACAAGGCTGCAACTTTGTATGTAGATATTATTAACAGTAAGATGTTGGGGGAAAACAGACTGTTTTAAGTGCCGTTTTTTGTAACTCACATATGCACATTTTCCCCACTACCTCCAGTCTGTTGGACCCTGCTTGGTACTTTGAGATCTTGAGGTGAATCAGAGCTGCCCCTATAAATGCCTGCCAAGCCCTGGTGGCACTGTGGGTTAAGAATTGGGCTGCTTACCACAAAGTTGGCAGTTCAAACCCCAGCCACTCCATGGGAGAAAGATGAAGCTAACTGCTTCTGTCAAGATTTACAGCAATATTTCCCAAAGCAGGCCACTGTTTCCGGTGGGGGGGCAGGGTTGGCGGTTGCTGGAATGATCCAGGGGGCGACTGCAAAAGCAGACACCCACACTTTATGCTAGATTGTGGGCTATAGTACAAGAGTTTTGTTGCCTGAGTAAATTTTTTTTTTTTTTTTCTGAAAAGGGAGCAATAAGTCAAGCCCGTTTGGGAACCTGTGGTTTAAGGTCTCCAAAGCCCAAGGTAGGGTCACTGTGAGTTGGCATCAGCTCAAGAGCTGTGGGTTTGCTTTGGTTTACTGAGTGCCAGGTCTTCTGTAAGACATGCCCCCATCTGATTGCTAATACTCACAAAAGGGGCAGTTCTACCCTCCTTAACAGAGAACACTGAGCTCAGAGCATTAAGTGGCATGGCTGAGGTCACAGCAGGTGGCTGGCAGAACTAGGAATCAAGCCCTAGGCCAGTTGTGGGAAGAGGCATCACTGGAAGGGACAGGGAAACACAAAAGCCCTTGTCCAGTGCCTCTCAGCTCTTGCCACGACAAACTTTCAGGAAGGGCCCGAAACGCCATTTCCTTCCTTGTCCCCTCCGGCCTGCAGCTACTAGCCAGCCCCACAGTCTCTTCTGAATGGGCCTCAGGATCAGATCAGGGAAGCCCAGGCTCGCCACGCCCCTGACTAACCCAGATCCAGCACACAGGCAGGGCTCCTGGGGTGCCAGGGGTGGCATCTGGATGCAGTAGTGAGGGGTCAGCCCCCTGCGGCCACTGGGTGGTCTCTCATCACAGATCTTGTGTCTGCAGAGAAGGAGAAGGGGAAGGAAAAGCTGGAGGAGGACGAGGCCGCGGCAGCCAGTACCATGGCCGTCTCCGCCTCCCTCATGCCGCCCATCTGGGACAAGACCATCCCGTATGATGGCGAGTCTTTCCACCTGGAGTACATGGACCTGGACGAGTTCCTGCTGGAGAACGGCATCCCTGCCAGCCCCACCCACCTGGTCCAGAACCTGCTGCTGCCTGTGGCCGAGCTGGAAGGGAAGGAGTCGGCCAGCTCCTCTACCGCCTTCTCCCCGTCCTCCTCCACCGCTGTCTTTCAGCCCTCTGAAACCGTGTCCAGCACAGGTTGGTGAGGGGCCAGGGGAGGCAGTCCAGCTTTTGCCAGAGGCCAGCTTGTGTCCACCCCCTTGGGGACCTTTCTCCAGAGGGAAAGTCCTAGTGGGCCTGCTGTGTGGGGGACCCCAAGACTGGAGAGAAAAATAGGGGCTGCATTAGTGGCAAGCAGAGCCTCCCTGCTGGTTCGTGGGCTGTATCTGGGGCAGAGGACCTGGGATCCAGGTCACCTGAGACTTGGCCTCCAGAACTCCCAGCTGTGTTCTAAACTTCCTGCTGTGCTCTGCCCCATGAACACTTGGCTGGCGGATTCTCAGGCAAGACTAATAGTGCTTATTGTTAGTCTTGTCCTCCGTCTTGCTGTTGCAGCTAACAGGCATTTACATGTAATGCCACCCAAACCTTATGAGTCTGGTCGTATTACTACCCTTTTGTAGGGAGGCAACAGAGGCACAGAGAAGTAACGCAGCTTGCCCCAGTTCATACCGCAGGTAGGTTGTGGAGACAGCACTTGAACCCAGGATGTCTGCCTGCCTAGTGAGGCACCACATAGGCACCAACGTAAAGAGGGCATCCTGCTTGCCTGGCCAGGGCAAAGCATCTTATAGCCCCTGCTTTCCACAGGCTGTTGGTGTGAGGCATACAGGCTTGTAGCTACAGGGAAAGGACCCCCGGAGCTGGTCGGAAACCCAGAAAACCCATTCCCCGGGAATTCTCAGGTGCTACTGTTCTTAGTGCTTCGTTACAGGAAAGTTTTATTTATACAGATGAAGTGACAGTACAGTAACACACATCCATGTCACCCCTCGCAGCTTCAGTCACGCTTACCTCCTCCCCTTCTACACGTCATTGTCAGTCAGATACTAAACCAGGTGCCTTGACATCTGTAACTACTTCTTTCCCTGTCTACCACATAAAGTTCCTTTGTAGAAATAGAACAGAAATACCAGCGGCACACCTGAAGTCGACAATAAATTCCTCCACACTCCACATTGTCTCCTAACTGTCTGTTTTAGGGTTTGTTTATTTGACTTAGCGTTCAGAGAGGCCTCACCCATGGCATGGAGTTGCTGCATCTCTTCACTCTCTTGCGTCATCTGTGAGCTGCCCTCTCCTCGCCATTTCTGGGTGGTTTATTGGTCTGAGGCTCCACGTTCATAAGCTCATAGAGCGCCCCACATGCTGCGTTTTTGGGGGTTTTTTTTTGCTGTACCCCCACAGTGCCATCGACCGTGTTTTCTCTGCCCGTTTTCCTGTAAACCAGACGTTGGAGTTGGAGGCTTCAGCTGACGCTGGTGGAATTCCCATTTGACTGGGATTCTACTATCACGGCACCTTAGGAAGCTGGTTTGTGGAATGGAATGGGTCCCTCCCAGGACAAGTGCTTACTCAGCTCTCTCAGGTCCTAGACTTACTGTACAAAGTGGTTGTACTGTCCTATAACCCCACCAGTGGGGCTCAGACTTTGATCCTAATTGGACTTGTTTTGTGACGAAGCATCTCAGAGGTCTCAAATGACTGCCTGGCTCTCACTCACCTCTCCCCCCAAGGCATTTGAAGACCTTTGACTCCATGGGAGACTTGGTCCTTGGTACTGCTGTCCACTGGTCACGGAGGCCTCCTCAAGTCTTTTAAGCCTCTTTTTAAACGTACTTGTAAACATGCCCCTTTTGCTCCTGGATACCTCACCCATCCTGGCCCGAAAGTGGAGCCCAACCTCAACCTCTGTTGCGGTTTGAGAGCGTTTCCCTGTGGTGGGCCCCTTGGCTCTTTTCCTGCAGTTGTTCGGCAGCCTAGTGTCTCCAGCTACCTCACAGGTCATTGGTCATTCACTCCTCTGACGAAAAGACCTTTTTAATCAATCCCCGCTTATAGGATGCAGTCATTTTCTGTGCAGGACCCCATTGAGACCCAAGACTGATCAGACTCCTGATGGATGGCTTCCGTCTCCGGAGAATCATCTCACACTGCTGTCCTGTGCAGTGTTCAGCAGCATCCCTGGTGAAGGCCTACTGGGTGCCTGTAGCCCCCTCCAGTCTCCACACCTTCAGTCATCCGCTCTCGTCACACTCGCCTCCTTGCTCCTCTCAAGCATACCAGATAGCAGGCCTTTGCACCTGACACTCACTCCCCCTCCTTTCTGGCACGTTGTCCCTTACTGTCCACATAGCTGCTGATACTTTGATACCTGATTTTGATCTTGTTCAAAATCATCCTTCCTCACTAGCCTGACATTCCATGAAGGCAGAGATATTTGCTTGTTTTGCTCGCTGTTTTTGCTGTGCCAGGACAGGATCTGGCAAACATTAGGTATTCAGTAAACATTGATGAAGCTCTCCCTCTGTCCTCCTCTCAGCTCTGACTGGGTAGGCCAAAGGTAGAAGGTTGTTGGTATTTGTTTCTAAATGTCTCTGAAGTGAAGCACACGGGTGGCCGCCTGCAAATGACTTCCAACCAGCCCACAATAAGGCGGCAGCCAGGCGGGGCTAGGAAGAGCAGGGCTCTGGAGTCAGCGAGGCCTGGACTCCACTCCTGTCAGCCTCTCACCTTCCTGAGCCTGGGTCAGCACCTGGCCCTCGCCCCGAACTCTGACAGATGCGTTCATCCTCAAGCAGTTGCTGGCTGTCATTCTGTTTGCCATTCTCAGAGCATGAAACCACAGGAAGTCAAGGCCGTCAAGTGACATTTGTGCAGGGAAAACACTCCAAACACTGGTCTTTTCTGAGGGTCTCTGTTCCTCCAGGGAAGACTTCCTCTCCTGGTTTTGTTAAAACCCGAGTGGAGTCACATGTGCTATGCTGGCTCGGGCTGGGGCCAGTGTGGTCTCTCTTTCCTCAGGCGGCCATGGTTCAGGCAGGTGTCTGGGCATGGGAGGCGGGCCTTCTCCGTCCCCCAGGCCACTTAATGACCACCTTCCTTCTATTTTCCAGAATCCTCCCCAGAAAAGGACAGGGAGACACCCAGCCCCATCGACCCCAACTGTGTGGAAGTGGATGTGAACTTCAACCCTGATCCTGCCGACCTGGTCCTCTCCAGCGTGCCAGGTGGGGAGCTCTTCAACCCTCGGAAGCACAAGTTTGCTGAGGAGGACCTGAAGCCCCAGCCCATGATCAAGAAGGCCAAGAAGGTCTTCGTTCCTGATGAGCAGAAGGTACAGTGGTATTTTTCCTAAGTGAGCATTCATTCATACTCTGTGTGTGTCCACGAGCGCAGGGTCGACCCCCTTTCACATGGTCTGGTCTGGAGGAGCCGCCCTTCTGTGGACACCATTTTAAAGGCACGTGCTCCTGCGTGGAGTCACGTCCTACAGTCTGCCCGGGAAACTGAAGGGTTGGCCCCACGTGACTCTGTAGTTTGTCTCTGCCCTCCCCAGGACCACTGGCTGTATCCCTATTCCTGCTGTCTTGGCTTTAGCTCAGACACTGGACAGAGCTCACTGGCCACGGGAACTGGGGTTGAACAAGTCCTTGATCTGAAGGACAAAAGATAGCTTGTAAGCAGTCTTCCCCGGGGAATAGCCGGCAGACCTCAACTGATGGCTCTGAAGGCACCAGCAGGAGAGCAGGGGGGGGAGGCCTACACAAATTTTCTGCCCTCTCATATGAAAAACTCTGGGAGGATTTATCATCCAAGCCTTGGACCTGGATTCAAACCCCTTCTGCCACCTGCAGTCTAGCTGTGCCTCAGTTTCCTCATCTGTAAAACAGAAGTAATCCTGCTTGCCCCTCAGTGCTTCTGGGGCTTGCATAGCGATGATGTTGCCAGCAAGCATTTGTGTGGCACCTCCTGTCAAGCACTGTAGATATGCTAGTTCATCTGATCACCAGACACCCCATAAGGTAGTGCGGTGATTGTCCCCACTTTGATGGCAAGGGACCTGAGACATTGCGAGGTAAAGAAACCTGCACGGGCCCATTGCTAATAAGTTGCAGAGCCCACAGTGAACTTGGGACTGCACCCACATGTCCAGACCCTTCACCATTGCCAGAACAGGGAGTAGCGCCCAGCAGACTGCCCTTCCCACCACCACTGTGCAGCCCTACCATAGTCCCGGCGCCTCAAACTCCTGGTCCAGCCTCACAGAGGGGTATTTGAGAGGTGGAGGGGGAAGGTTGGATTTCCAGGTGGAAATGACAGAACCCCCTTCTCTGCAGGATGAAAAGTACTGGACGCGGCGCAAGAAGAACAACGTGGCTGCCAAACGGTCCCGGGACGCGCGGCGCCTGAAGGAGAACCAGATCACCATCCGGGCCGCCTTCCTGGAGAAGGAGAACACGGCCCTGCGGACGGAGGTGGCCGAGCTGCGCAAGGAGGTGGGCAAGTGCAAGACCATCGTGTCCAAGTATGAGACCAAGTATGGGCCCTTGTAACCCAAGGCCCCCACCCAGACTCTGCCCGGGGCACCTGGAGACTTGTGACTCGTCATCTGCAAATGGCGGTGCACCTGCTCCTGAGCTTCATTATAACACGGGCCGGAGCACGGGGGCTTCTGGGCCAGCCGTCTCCTCACTGGCAGGAGCTCCAGTCCGTCAAGATGTGAATCGGCCTTAGTTTCTGTCCTTGGCTGCCCCAGCCGAGTCCACAGGGGACCCTGGAGACCCACTCTCTCCTTTCACAGGCTCTGGCCTGACTTGCCAGGGCCGTCTCCGCAGGATGGCTCCTCACTGATACAGTCGCCCTCACGTCTTCTCAGGTAGCAGGGCGCATTTCCCAGTGGTGTGTGTCTGTTACTCGCCTCCCTCCCGCTCCTGGGCGAGTGTCTATAGGCGGCAGGTCTCTGGACTGTGTGGCAGTCAGGGCCTGTGCTTCACCCTTCTCAGCTCCTGCCTCTTTCCCCTGTAGTAGCTCTGAGGTTGGGAAGTCCGGAGGAGGCCCTGGCCATCAACCCTCACCCAGGTCTGTGACCATAAGGCCCCAGGATACGTCTCATCTCCTCTTCTCCAGGCCAGTCATGGCGGCTGCCCTTGCGTCTTCTTTCCCATGCTCTGGGTCTGTTGTGTCTTTTCATCACCCAGTAACCAACCTCAAATCTTGGACTTAAAAGGAAAGCCTGCCGCCATCTGGGAAGCTTTACCTTCCTGGACCCCAGAATTCGCCATCCCAGGGGATACAGAGAACCAGCCTCCTCCAGAGCCTCCCTTCCACAGTGTGCACAAGAGCTGGGGTGCTCCTTGAGAAGCACCCATATTTTCTTGCTCTGCTCTGCCCTGACCTGGCTCAGCTGAAGCGGCAGATGGCACCTGAGCTGCAGGCCTGTCTTCCTGTGTGGCCCACCCACAGGGCTTAGCAGGCAGCCCAGACCCGGCTGCCCAGATCAAGGGGAAGCCGTGTGGGATAACAGTCTTTTGGGACATTTACCTGGTCATAGGGGCTTTCGGTCTTGGTCCCCGGAGCAGGAGACACAGGCCCTCACACGAACTGCAGAGTAGAGGGGTTCTTGGTACATCTGTTCCTGCTCTGCAGCCTCCTTCCTCTTGTGGCTGGACCTGCCTTGGACTCTGCCCAGATTAGGTGAGGACATGCTGCCCATTTTGGTCAGTTAAGGCACCCTGCCCTCAAAGCAGGCAGCTGGGGTGGATAGGCGTCGGCAGAGGGGTGCGCTTGATCATCTGTCCACTGGCTTGATTTTCAGGTGGCAGCTCTGAGGCTCCGGCCCTGGCCTCTAAGACTTTCCATAGACACTAGTGGGCAGCCCAGGGGAGGACAGCCAGGCTGTGGCCTGACCCCTAGGGCACACCCACTCATGCATCTTTCTGGGGACTTGACTAGAATCCCAGAGGCCCCAGGAGGTCCCCCCACTCTCCAAGCCCCTTATTTTCTCTCTGGGGTTTTGGCCAAACCATGTACACGCTTTCCACTCTTATAACCACACACGGGGCAGTTGCATCGGCATGTCAGTGTCCTGCCCGGGCTGGGTGCCTGCCCAGCGCTTGCTCTCTGGTCCGGCCACCCTCATTGGTCCTTGGTGGGAGGGACTCGAGTGACTCGGCTCTTCATTCTCTTGGCCAGAAAGCATACAGTTTGTGTGTGTTTCAATTTTCTTTCTTTTTCCCCCCAGAATGGAAACTTATCCTGGGCTGGCACCCACATGCCAACCCAGAGGGTAGAGTGACAGCTTGATGGCTCTCCTCCCTGGGGCAGCGGGGGTCTGGGTCCTTCCTGAAGTGCTCACTTGGAAAGAAGGGGGCTGAGAGGGGGATCTCTGAGCTGAGCCTCTTCATTTCGGGAAGCTGACATTTTGGGGAGAAGGAAGTGCTCAGGTAAGCCATCCCTGATGGGCCCTCCCCATCTTGGGACTAACAGGGCTTGAGGCCCCTGCGTCCAGGTCTTTACATCTGGACAGCATTCTCGGCTGGAGTAGCTGCCTGAAGGGGCTTCGCCTGTGTTTCAGATGGGCCAGGAGGGCCGACTGCTCCCCAAGGGTTTGGTCTTCAGCTTCAAGGCAGCCTCGTTACAAACTCAGAACAGACCAATCATGAATGAGCAAGAATATTGCAAGCATATACATAAATGTATATCTAGGTATAGAAGAGATATATATCTATATATATCATTAGAGAGAGAATTTTCCAGATTGACAGTAGCCTGGCAGAGGACATGGGTAACTGAACTCTTAGTTGAAAGAAGAGGTCTGGCTGACTGGTTCCTGAGGTTGGGGAAGCACTTCTCCATGAACCTTAACTTTTGATGAGTGTCCCCCACATGAGAGGGGCTCTGTGGCCCAGGGAGGCAGGTGGCGAGGGTGGAACCAGCCAAGAAGGCCGGCTGGGGCCCGGGGAGCTGTGCTCCCCTCCAGGGAACACTAAGGGAGGGCCCAGGAGCCCATGGTTTCATTTGAGCCCCAACCCCAGAGCTCCTTTAACATGTTGATTTAGTGCAATAAATTTTTCTAGAAAATGGCAAAGATGACTTCCAGGTGGCTATTGCTGTCTTACGGTTTGGGAATGCGGGAACACCACTTGGTTTTATTTTTCTACGTGCATGTAACGTGTTAGCGTGTGTGTATGTGTGGCTCCTTGCCCTCCCCGGGAGCTAGCATGCCAGCGGGCCCCTCTCTCCTTTACCTTTTTGTTGGGGAGAGGAGGCGGCCAGAGGAAGACCCCATGGGCCCAGCTGGAGAGAGCAGAAGTAGACTGGAGCCTGTTGGCCTTATGTGCGTGTGTGTCACTGCTGGTGGCCCAGAGTGATGTGGCGGGAAGAAAGCTGGGAATGTGTCCTTTTCAAAACAAATTAAATATTTTGAGAAGAGAATTTGGGGCTGTCTGTTTTGTACTCCTTCCTTCTGTGTTGCCTGTCACCACGTGTGGGCCCAGGGGCTTGAGGGTCAAGCTGAAGAACCTGATCTCATTAACACCCTCCCAGGCATCCCTGAGGTCACCACTCCCTCGGCTGGGTCTCCTCACTGGGCCTTAGTTTCTTCATCTGGAGCGTGGAACAAACTCTGCTTTCCCTGACACCTACTCAAACGCTCATTCCTATTGAGTCGATTCTGATGCATGGGAACCCTACAGGACAGGGTAGAACTGCCCCTGTGGGGTTTCTGAGACTGTGACTCTATTCAGGAGTGGAAGACTCGGTCTCTGTCGCAAGGAGCAGCTGGTGGTTTCGAACTGCTGACCTTTTGGATCTCCGCCCAAATCATAACCACTATACCACCAGTGTTCCTCCTGACCAGGGTTCCTTCTAACGAATCAAATATCAGACCACAGTGCCACGTGAACAGATAAAAATGTGGCCATCCAGCCCAGGGATGGGGAGCTGCTTGTGAAAAGACACAGGAATAGGGGCCTGGGTGGCAGCCGTGGGAAAGAGAAAGACTGGAAGGCTTGGGCCCCTGCAGGCCAGGGTTCCAGGCTCTCCTTTTCTCTTTCTGTCCACCCCTGCCCTTACACACAACCCTCTTTGTATTGGGGCTCAGTCTTATGCTTTGAGGGACCCTGGAACTTTGTTCTAAGCAGGGAAGAGTGCATTTGGCTTCTGAAGACAAGGGCCGGTGAGGTAGGTTTCTGGTTTTAATGTTGTTGTTTTGGGGGGTGGGTTGTTTAGTAGCCGTTTTACAGATTCAACACAGTCCAGATACGCACAGTGACAGCGGCAATGCGAGATCCAGCCTCGGCGCAGGGCCAGGAGGGCTGCTCGCAGTCCCGGGATCAAGCCCAGCCTTGTAGTCAGTGACACATGACCCTCACACCTGACAGCCTTCCTTGCTCAGCAGCAGGGTGGTTCCACTTCCAATCCAGCTCCCAGAACTGGCTGTTTGGAGGCTTCACAGAAGGGGTGCTCCCTGTTGTCCCGAGCAGAAAACAATGCTTACAGAAACCTCCGTCAGCACGTTTGTTTACTAAGTGCATGTCCCCTGCCCTCACAGTCTGGTGGGAGAGACAGCACGTAGACCACCAAGCAGAATGACAAGGGATCGTGGTAAATTGTGTTTCTGAAGGGACTGGGGAGCCGTGGGAGAGGCCAGCCATATTTGGGATGGGCTCAGGGGAAACCTGACACTGAAGCTGAGACCTAAAGGGTGACTGATGTGACTCGCTCCCAGGGTTCCCTCACAACTTGGGAGCGGGGACAAGACTCCTGTGGTAGTTTCTGCACACACACAGACATACCCCTGTCCGTACACCTCCGTCCCCTCTGGCTGGCCACAGGTGGAGGCCCATGGAAAGCAGTTATGAGAAGAGCCCATGATGGCCAGCACCATGACGCCCTTGGCCTCTTGGCCTCAAATTTTCAATCAGAAATAGGAACCCAAAAAGCCAGGCCACCTCTCGCCCCCCACCTACCCTGCAGAGTCCTGGGGGTGGGAGGAGGGAGTTGTGCCACATGGTAGTCTGATCCCAGCCCAGAGTACAGGGTAAGCATGTGACCCAAATGGGCCTCTGAGGTTCCTCCACTTGAGGTCGGAGCCCCTCCAGGGAGGACTGTTGTAACCCCTGAAGGACCAGCTGTAGGCTTGAACTGTGGCCCAGCCGCGCCGTCTTTGCTGACGTGTGCCAGCCAAGGACACAGGCTAGGAGACAGCCAGCCCTGCCACAACACAGACTACAGCGTAACCTGGGGCAAGGCACGTCCCCTCTCCGGGCTTCGGTTTTCTTCTCTGTTAAAGGGGGCACCGACCGACAGTGCTGTTCTAAGAACCGTGCACGTAAGGACATGGGCAGCTGCCCTGATGGTGATGGGGTACACCTCCCCTGCCGTGCAGCTGTCCTTCGGGGGGATGGGTATCTACTGGATGGCCTGGAAGCTGCCTGGGCCAGACCAGCTGTGCCTTGGGCATGTTACCCTACCTCTCTGAAGTGCTTTCCTCTGTACAGTAAGGCTGCCATAGGGCCATTCAGAGAATGCAGCTCGCTGTACTGCCACACACACACACACACACACACACACACACACACAGAGCCCCCCTGGGGCCCACATCTCCAAAGCTGGGCCCACCCCCCCTCTCTGACTGCACCCAGCACCCAGACAGCCCTTATGCACCTCCCCCGGCTGTGCCAGGCCTGCCAGCTGGCAGCGCCTGACGTCAGCAGCTAATCTGGGATTGCTGCCAGTGGAGGTAGGGTGAGGGGCAAAGGAAATGAGAAGCAGGTTTTGGGATGGGCGCCCCCAGTCCCCCACCCAACAGGGAGCTCTCACCAGCTCCGCGCTCAGCAGCCCCTTCCCACTGCACTGGCTGGCGCCTGGGCCAGTGAGGACTGAAGACGGCGGGGCAGGCGGCCTTGGAGTTTGAGCCAGGGCTCTGTCCCCAGGAGCTGGGCTGCCCAGAGCGCCATTGTTCTGCTTCCTGTCAGCCTGGCAGAGGCAGGGAGACTCCAGGCCAGCTCTGAGAACCCCCTGGGCACAGAGGCCCATGTGGGCCAGGCCTACTGTCTCTAGGCCTGTTAGCAGGACCCTCAGTTGGTCCTCCCTGTTCCCTCACCCACTAGGCAGGCTCCCAGCCTCATGACATGCTGAAGCAAGGCGGCACCCTCATGGGCAGAGGTGGGATGTGAAGCTCAGTTTTGGACCCAGACCTGGTAGCTCCTGAGACTGGCTCTTTTTGCCACCTCAGCCCTCTGCTAGCTGAAGTTCTGGCGCTACCCTGCCTATCCTCACTGGAAGGACACCCGCTCTGCTGGCCTCCTCCCTTGGGTGGGGGTCAGCCAGTCAGAGCAGCCAGAACAGGCCTGCTCTGCCATCTGCCACGGCTGCCTGGAGCCGCAGGAAGACAGACGCATGCTAGGCCAGCCCTTCACAGGAGTCCGTTTGGTAAATGTGGAAACAGGTTCAGAGAGGAAGGGACTTCCCCAAGGCTGCACTGTGCCTCCCACCCCCTTCTGTACCTGGTCCTGGTCCTGGGCCCCACACGTCCTGGGGTTCACCCTCTGCTGGCCCCATCCCCCTTGCTCCTTCCCCAGCCTCCCTGTAAGATTTGACTTCCCAGGTGCCAGAGACACAGGCTTTGGATGACAGGGGTCTTGGAAGTTCTCCCATCCAGGCCCTCCCCAACTGGATGGAAAAGCACAGAGAGGAGTCAGACTACCCAAGGTCACACAGATTAAGAACTCCTGGGCCTCTATACTGCCACCTCCCTCCACACTACCGCTACCTGGGGTCACCGAGATAGACATCGTGGCCTATACTAGGGGGAGCACTGGCTGCCATTGACCCCAACTGGGCCTGAGCTGCTCACAGAAATCTGGGCTCACCCCTGGCCCATCTGCAGGGTGCTGTGTGACCCAGCCTCAGCTTCCTCCCATGTAGAATGGGTGTTGTGAGGCTGGGACAGCACAGGAGTGAGGACCCACACACAGCCTGGCCCTTCTCTGAGCCTCTTCCTCTTTCTCTGTGCCCTGGGGACACAACCCCAGCCCTGCTCTCTCGGGCCAGAGAGGCTTCCTAGAAGCCCCTACAAACTGCAAGGGAGGAGCAGGGGACAGTGCCACGCTGGCACATCTGGAACCCAGAATGTGGTAAGAGGTGTCTTGTGCGCGCACACACTATACACACATCCTCCACACATACATACTTCATGCACATGCGTGCGCACACTAACTTCACACACATATTACTCCACACACTATACATGCACTCCACACACGTATTACACACACTATACACACCCCAACACACTATATATACATTACACACACACTATGCACACGCCCCACACACTGTGTACATACACTCCACACACATACGTATTACACACTCCACACACTATACACACACCCACACACTGTACCTACACTACACACGTATACATATTATACACACACTATACGCACACCCTCCACACACACACACTATACATACTCAGACTGCACACACATACACACTATACATACATTCCACACACACACACACTACATACACCACACACATATACACACATACTTCATACACACACTATACACACACCCTCCACACACCTTCCACACACACACTCCACACATACTCCACACACCCCCACATACACACTATACATACTTACACTCCACACACCACCTCCCACATACACTGCATACTCGCATTACAAAAACACATACACATTCCACACACACTATACATACACCACACACACACATACATATTACACACACACACACACACACACTCCCCCACAGACTTGTCCATGGCTCCACCCTGCGGGCTGGAGGGTAAAGGTCCAACCTGGAGGCCAAAGATGAAGCTGGGAGGCAGCAGCGCCAGGCCACTACAGACACAGGAATCTGACAGGCCTCCTGGGGGTCTGAGTCCCTACTGATGTGGCCAAGCTGCCCACCCCCAGGACGATGTCAGAGAAGCTGCTGGACTGCACCCAAGCAGGCCAGAAACCCTGCCCTAAAACAGGAGTCTCCACGTGTGACCGGAGCAGGAGGCAGGGGTCCTGAGACCAGAGCCAGCATCCAGGGGTCTACCATCCAGCCACCTGGAGGAAGTTCATCTCTGCCCAACAACTGCCAAATGCCCAAGTCCAGCCTCCCCTATCCCTGAGCCCTGGGTCTACCTGCTACCTGGTACCCTCATTTGGTCATCTCAGAGGGAGAGTGGTGGCTTCCCCTAGTCCCATCAGCCCTTCCTTTGAAGGCACTGGTCCCTACGTTCACTGGGTACTCCATCAGGCAGCCTCAGGATCTGCCCTGGCAGCTGATCACGGTAATATCGTCAGTTCTAGAAGCCCACCACTTCGTAGGTCCCTCGTCCCTTGCTGTCCTAGCCTCCCTCATTTGTCTCTGACACAGCAGCCTCCTGAGTGCCTGGTTCCA